TTTGGTTCTCAATAGGTCATACAATTTTGTTTGGGGGATGCGGTAGTTTGAAAGTAATTGACTGTCACAATCTCATAGGCAGTGACACTATTAGTAAGGGTTGCTTTGTTGGAGTGGGGTGGCTTTGCTGGAGGAAGTGTGTCACTGTGGGGGCGGGTTTTGAAGTTTCCTATGCTCAGGATACCTACCACCCAGGGTCTAAGACCACTTCCTGTTGCCTGCAAGATGTAGGACTCTCTAGCACATCTGTTGGCCCGCCGTCATGCTCCCTGACATGATAATAATGGATTGAACCTCTGAAACTGTAAGTGAGCCCCCTCAATGAACTGTTTTCTTTATAAGAGTTGTCATGGTCATGGTGTCTCTTCACAGCAACAGAAGCCCTCACTAAGACAGGGGATTTGTTTATTATTTTTTATTGTTTGTTTGTTTGCTTGTTTGGTTGGTTTTTCGAGACAGGGTTTCTCTAAGTAGCTCTGGCTGTCCTGAAACTCACTCTGTAGACCAGGTTGGCCTTGAACTTACAGAGATCCACCTGCCTCTGCCTCCTGAATGCTGGGACTAAAGGCGTGCGCCACCACCACCTAGCTTGATTTATTTTTTTTTTTTTAAGAAAGGGTCTCAAGTATCCCAAGCTGGCTTTGAGTTCACTTTGTCGCTGAGGATAACCTCCCAGGTGCTGAAATTATAGGTATGTACCCCCACAGTAGGTTTACGTGGTGCTAGAGATCAGACTCAGGGCTTCATGCATGCTGGGCAAGCACTGTACCAATTGAGCTGCATGCCAATCAGTCCTCAAGAGATTGTAGCTAGCTATAGTAATCTTAGGCTTGAAGTAGCCTCTTCAAAGTGACAGCTAGGTGTGTCAACTGGCTGGTTCACAGGGAGGAAAGATGGGAAACGGTAGAACTCATCTCCTTATTAGTTCAGATACTGGACTGGGTCGTCTAGTTTCTCACCCTTCATTCTTTTCCTTCTCTCTTCTCTTTTGGGTGGGGTTTGAGATATGTAACCCAGGTTGGCTTCCTAGGTAGCTAAGGGTGATCTGGAAATCCTGGTCTTCCTGTCTCCACCTCTGCTTCCAAGGACTAGGCTACAGGCTTGTGCCAACAGTCTGTCTTCTTTCTTGAATTAAGGTCTTACTATGTAGACTAGGCAGGCTTCAGATTCCTAACCCTCTTGCCTCATGAGTATTGAGATTAAAGTACCGAACTATCACAGCTAGTTTCACCTTCTGTTTGAGTACTCAAACATGCCTGACTTAATGCATAGCAACCAACCCAAGAGAGCAAGGCAGAAACCACAAGGCCTTTAATGACCTCACCTTAAATGTCATGTATTGCCATTTCTGTATTCTACCAGTCACATGGGCCAGTACTAATTCTATGCAGATGAAACCCATGTAAGCACATGACTAGTAAGAGATGAAGACTGTGGGATGTCATCTAGTAGCAGACACATTTCATTACCTTTGGAGGCGGCCTTTGGTTGAGTGAACTGGAGAGTCAGCGAAGGGATCTGAGCAGAAAAGTGATCTATATTGTGGTTTCCACGCGTAACTGGCTGCTGTGGAAATGAAGGGGAGAAGGAACTGAGAAGACCAATGAGGAAGCTACTGCAGGCCAAGAGAGGGAGGGACTTGATGAAGGAGGGGGTAACATTGATGGAAACTGGTATTCTGGGCCTCTCTGAAGAGAGCAATGGCAAGCTTTCCTGGTGGGTTGGATATGAGAGGATCTAGATGTGTCCAGTTGGGGGCCACAGTTGTGGGGAGAAGACTTAAATAGTATGCAGAGTCCCGAGTTCACCAGCACAGCATAAGCAGGGCATGGAAGTGTACACCTATAATCCCAGCAACAGGGAGGTAGAGAAAGGAAGATAAATTCAAGGTTGGGCCTACAAGCCGGCTCAGCAGGTAAAAGCATCTCTATTGCAAGCATGGTAGCCTGAATTTGATTCCTGGAAGCAATGGTGGAGGTAGAAAACTACTGAAATATGCCATCTGACCCCCCCATACATGTGCCTGTCATGTGTCTGTGGAGTGGACAAGCCTATATTTACACATATCTCTCTCACATATGCCTTAATAATAAAAAAGAAAAAGGTTCCAGCTATGTAATAAGCCTGGGATATACAAGACTCTGTCTTGAAAAAAAAATAAAGAAGGAGCTAGAGAGAGGGAGCGAAGGGGAAAGAGACTTACTAACAAGCCTGGCAACCTGAGTTTGATTCCTAGAACCCAAATGATGGAGGGAGAGGCGACTCTAGCAAGCTGCCCTTTGACCTCCACCATGTGACATGGCATCTGCTCCTGTGAATAAATTGAAAATTCGTAAAAGATGACTTTAAGGATTTTCCAAAAATGAGTTTGACATAGATCTTCCCATGAGATTACCCCATGGGAGAGATGAGATGCTTATACAAGCAGCTGAATTGTATGACATACCACACTGCGCGCTATAACAAAGCACTGACTTTCACGATGAAGTGAGAAGGAAAAGTTCTAGAATGGACAGTGTGATGGTTGCACAATAACAGGAATGTAGGCGATGCCACTGAACTATGTACTTCCTGCCAGATCCCAAAGAAACCCAGGACAAGGCTCACTCACAGAACCTGCAGCTCCACCCAGCACTTCTCAGCCCACTCCCTACCCTGAACATTTCCTGTCCAGGGGCTGACCTTTGCTTCCCTTCCCCCAGCTTCTCATTCCTATACAAACCTGCCATTTTATCCAAGAGTACTCTTGATCCTTGGCTTATCTCTTGATTCTCTTGCCCCCTCTCCTTTTCTCTTTCTCTTCTCTTCCTCTCTTGCTCCCCATCTCTCTCGTGGCCTAGTCAGCCTTGACCCTCCCAGATGTCTCTGACTGAACTCTCCCACACAGTTACGGTAAATCCTCCTCTTCAGCCATACCTTGGAGTGGTCGTGTGCTCATTTTCATTCACTTACAATGGTTAAAGTAGTAAATTTGTGTATACTTTACAATAAAAACAATGCTACCTCATCGGGATATAATCTCAAATTTGTAATCTCAGCACTCAGAAGGTTGAGGCAGAGGATTGTCATGAGTTTGAGCCCAGCTTGGAATATGTAGCCAGAGAAGGCTACATAGCACAGCCTTGTCTCACAAAATAAAGCCAGACATGGTGGGTCAAGTGCAATACTGCGATACTCCAAGGCAAGAAGATCAGCAATTCCAGGTTATCCTCGGCTACATCGCAAGTTTGCATCCAACATAAGATACATGAGACCTTGGTGCAAAAAAACCCAAGCCAGCACTTAAAAGGATCAGTGATTTCAGGCTGGCCTGGCTTACACAATGACTTCTGACACAGCCTGGGCTATTTACTGAGGCCTTGTCTCAAAAACCAAAATAACAAAAGCCCAAAACAACAATAAGGACTCTAAAAAACACTTTAAGTTCAAAGAATAAATGAGAACAGAAAATGAGAAAACAATCTTCAGGTAAGGGGGTCAGGGAAGGCGCTGCTTCTGCTGAGCTGGTTTCAATATATTACTGGAAGGCAGGGAAACTGGCAAGAGCAAGGGCATGTACGTAGTTTTCTTAGAAGCCACTCTACATTGTCATAGGGGAGCATGAACTCATGGCTAAGGGGATTTACTCTTATCCTGACCTCAGAATGGAAGGATTTAACTCAGCCTCTTGCAAGCTAGACTGGGGGAAGTGGGACAAGCCTAAGACCAGAGAAATCCGACTGGGTGGTGGTCGGGCAGACGTGTGAGCAGAAGATCCAGGGTTGAATAACACAGACTAGCACCATTACCTCAGCCTTTTTAAAGGCCGACGACAAACCAACTGACTATAAAAACAAAGAAGGGTCGCTTGAGGTGAATTTTTGTTTTGTTTTGAGACAGGGTCCCGTTCATCTTAGGCTGGACTCAAACTTACTACTGGGGATGACCTTGAACTCTTGATTTTTCTCAAGGAATTTGAAGGTGGCTTGGTAAGATTTTCATCTAAAGAAAAAAAAGGGGGGGTTACTAATTTATATTTAAGAGTGCTCTGAAAAGTAAGGTAAATATTTGTTTTGGCAGTGATAAGGTTGGAATCCCAGACCTCGCGCGCACTAGACAAGTGCTCCACCGATGAGTTTCATCCCCAGTCTTTGCTGGCAATTGCTATTATCATAGTAGGTCAGATGGAATTCTCAGCACTCTAAGAGTAACACCAGGGCCTGGATTCATCCCTGGAACCCAGGTGCTGGCAGAGAATGAACTCCCCAAGTTGTCCTCTGACCTCACACACTAAATCAGTGTAGTCATTTAAAATAAAAAAAAGATGGCATCAGAAGAGGTTTTACGTTAGCAAAACTTTAAGGGCCAAAAATATTCTTCTTCTTTTCCAAGTTCCTTTTCATCAAGAGTAGCATTATTTAACCAGACAGATGGTACTCATGATCTTGGAAATGAGATTCAGAATCCATCTTACTACACTAGCCACTAAGTGCCCAAATTCCTGAAACCTAAATTCACGTTTCTCTGACAACCCTACAAACATATCTGAATAACCTAGGGGCATGATCATCATTTTGTGTACAAAGACTTTTTCGTGTTTCTTTTTCATCTTCGTTCTTTTCCCTTTCTTTTCTTTTCTTTTCTTTTTTCCTCTTCGCAAATCAAACATCTCTCACTTTCTCTGGGTCTCACGTTTTCCCCGGACACGGAGTTTAATAGGGGTGTCCTGCCATTCAGGCTTTTCAAAGTAACAACAAAGAATACGTTATAAAAGTCCCTGGTATCCAGTAAGCACCCAGAATGTTCTGACCCTTCTCCCTCGGATTTTAATCCTTTTACCTGTATTCCCCTACTCCTCACCCTAAAGTCCAGGTAAAGGTCATGGGAAAAAAAAGCCCTGGGTGCTAAAAGAGGAAACGCATGAGTTGGGGGCGGGGACTGCGAGGTGACCTGTGCGCATGTGCACCCGCTGGGTCAGGCTCTGGCTTGGCGCGGGGAGGGGGGGGATTCGGGCTGCATAATGAGGAGGACTGGCTTATTTCTCCATGCCCTCTTCCGGCTCCGGGAAGCGGCGGGACTTTGGCGGTCGCCCGAGTGGGCGCGACGCTAATCGAGGGCCACTTGGGCCCGAGCGGTAGGTTGGAAGATGGCGGAGCGGAAAAGAAGGAGGGGCTTTGTCGGGCGGGAGCCGAGCTCCCCGGGGGTGTGGGGGGGGTGGGGGGCGCGGGTGGGGGGGGGAGGTGGGAAGGACATGGCCTTAGGCCAATGGCTGGGCTGGCCTGGGAAGCTGGCGGACTGCACCCGGTGGCTCTTTTGACGTGGACGCACTTGGTTCCGGTCCCCGAGTTTTCTCTGAGGGAACCGTCCGGCCTGTGGAGGCCGAGGGAGGGAGTCGTAATGATTTCCGTTTCCTTCTCCTAGGCCGCGGCCCGCCGCCCAGCGGAGTTGGGTTTTCCTGATCCGGCTCGGGCTGCCCCTCCTCCAGGACCCTCCCCCTCGGGAACGGTCGCTCACGGCGCTTTGGACGGGCTGACTCGGTGCCGTAGGTACAGTTCTTGTGGGTTTCCCGCCCTCCCCTCCCTTTCCTCTCTCCTCCCTTCTCCTCCTCCCCGCCCTCATCCTCTTCCCCCTCCCTTCCGCTTGGGCTAGCTCTGCCTAGTTGGGCGGGAAGGCCGCACCCGCCCGCCCGCGGGGAATGCTGGACTTGGCTCCTTGTCCAAGGTTCCCGGGATTGATCCTGGAAGCCGTGGGTAGGGTGGCCGGCTTCAAGCTTTCGGGTCAGCCTTCTTAAACTTCGTGACACCTAAGGTAAATGTAGTTAATTTAAAAAAAAAAAAAAAGGTGATCAACCTCCCTATCCCCCAGTATGGGGCAGGAGAGTGTGTTCCTGGCAAGGTTGTGCGAAACCAGAAGAATGAGGGCCAAAGAGCTTCCAGAGAAGGAAATAGCTGATCATTCTTGCCACCCCTGGTCACTTGCCCTGCATGGTTTCTGAAAGAAAAATGTCAAGTTGACTTTCAGTTTCATTATTGTAACTCCACAGTTTGCTTGAGTTGGGGGGGGTGTTATTTTTCTAAGGGAGGGCAGTGGTGACTGCAGTGGCTCTCCAGAAAGGAAGACGTTTTCACGGAAACTTTGGGAAGAACAAACTTCTCAGATTTTATTAATCTACTACTTTGCCTTCAAGCACAATTATGTCACTACTTCCGTCATCACATCCGTACCTTGATAATGAGCCAGTCATCACATCTGTAATGAAGGTGTCATTGAGATTTAATCTTGTAAGACTGGGGATTGCTGTAGTATTCTTCCTTCTTCTCATTTTCTCCTTAATACTTTTTTTTTTTGGTGGCCAGTTCAAGAGAACACTATTAAGAGCCGGCCATCTTAGAATCAGCTAGGACTCTTTTAGAGTTGGCTCCATTCTTTGCTTTACAAAACAGAAACTGAGGCTCAAGGTTTCATGACTTGCCTAAGGTTACAAGATTAGAACTCAGATTCAGTGGCTCCTGACCACCTCGCTCCTGTAACTTCATATATCCTCTAAGTACAAAATCTAACTCTATTCTGTGTAACATTTCTGTACTGCATAATCGTACTTCATGCTGGCGCCTGCACCTTTCCCAGTGAACTGAACATGTATGTACTGAACATATGTGTAAAGATTGTGCCTGGGATTGTTTTCCCCCATTACTAAAGAACGGAAAACATCTTAGGCCAAACCGAATTCTGACAGACACAAAAACCTAAGTTTGTGTCTTCTTGAAAGATACATGGGAAAAATGATTACTACTTCGAAGAAGAGAGATGGAAAACTTTTCTCTTTGCTTTTCTCCTGTGCCTTAAATGTATGTTTGAATGTTTTGCTATAAATGAGTTTTGATTTTATTACTAAAAAGTTTTAAAATACACAAAGATGGGTATCAGCATAAGTATTTGGAATAGGTATTTATTGCCATATCTAGTCTTATGTCAGTGATTTATACTGTAAAATTGTGTGTGGCTTATGTTGTCTTAACAGAGCAGGTTTGAATATTTGGGTATTTATGTTTCTCTTTTGACTATCACTTATTGTTCCCCCTGTTCATGTGAAATGGTAAAAAGGTTAGTCCATATTTTTAGAAAATATGGTAGGCTTCCTGATTATCAAATTGTGTAGCAAACTGTAGAATTCAGATATCAAACTTGACATGTAGATAAATCTGAATCACAAGGTCTTTCTGAATTACAATTATTCTTTAAAATTTTGAGCCTGTAAAGATTGTATTGGTCGCTCAGTGTGGTGCAATGAGTGCTTGCTTACCGTGTACAAGGCTCTGGGTTTGATTTTGAACATCTCAAAGAAAAGGTTAAAAGTTGACCAGAGTACATTATATAATATGTGGAAGTATAACATAATCCATTGTTTTGTGCAATGAATATATGCCAATAGAAGAAAGGGAAAAGAAAGCCAGACTTGGCAGCTTAATCACTGGAATCAGTGCAGGGAAATTGCAAATTCAAGTTTAACCTAGGCTACATAGTGAGTCCCTGCTTCAAAAACAAAGTTAGATTGAAGAGATGACTCGGTGTTTAAGCTTCCTGACTGCTTGCTCTTCCAGAGGACCTGGGTTTTATTCCCAGCACACTCATGGTGTCTCACAGCCAACGCTAACTCCAATCCCAGGGGATTCAGTGCCCCCTTTTGGCCTTCATGGGTTCTGCATGCAAACCACCCATACACATAAAATTATAAAGAGAGTCAATGCTCAAAATTGTAATGTCTGCGTTTGGTAGAAAAAGGATCAAGAGCTCAAAGCCAGCACTGGATGCATCAGACTGTACAAACAGAATCACAATCAATAATGTTTTTATATAGCATTGCATTATTTGGTACTTAAGTGTTTGCTTTTTTCCATATTTACCAACTTCATGCACATTATGCAGTTTTTAAAATGGTAAATATTTTGAGTTGGGGATAAATGCTTCAAAAGGTTTGGGGTTCTAATTCAGTACAGAATGTTTGCATAATATTCACTTGGCCCTGTAGTCAGTCCCTAGAACTTAAAAAAAAAGAACAGGTAAGACTGCACACATCCCCAGTGTGAAATTCTCTTTTTCACAGGCTGATAAGGATCCAAAGATGGAAAAAATGAATTGCTCAGTGTTATATTGCTTATTATTAGCAGACTTTGGATTGGGCTCTACATTCTAGTCTAGAATACTTGTAGTTTATTGCTTTCATTCAGTGAGGCCAGATAAGGCAACAAAATAATTCTGGCTAAAGGTTAGTCAGACATTTCAGTGGACAAGCAATATAATTAATATGCCAGTTAATTAAGTATAGCACTTAGAATTTTAACATAAATTTTCCCCTTTCATGGTGTGCATTAATTTAACCTATCCTCTGTATTTAATGATTGATAACTCCACATGTAACATAGTGATATTTCACTGTTTTTGCTTGATTTAACAGTTAAGTCTGGTAGTAAGGGCTAGCAAGAGGGAAAAGTCTGTGATTTAGAAGATAAACATTTATTGAGTACCTAATATGTGCCAAAAAACTACACTTTGTTTGGGAATCTAGAGCTGAATAGATACCATATATATACAGTGATATACATTTGTAATTTTGTCCTTGGGAAGGTTAGGCAAGAAGGTAACATGTACTAGGACAGCCTGTGCTACATATTGAGACTACCCACCTCAAACAACGCACTAAAAGATGAATAAGGTAAAGTGCCCTTGTTATTTTGAGGCAATAAGATTATGATAAGCTGGTGATTCTTAAATTTTATCTCCGGGGTAATCTGTTAATAGTATTATATAACCTGTTAGCATTGTTTAAGGTCATTGCACATGTCGATTCAAGGAGACAGACAGTATTAGAAAATGAGAAATTAATACTGAACTTAAATAATATACAGTGGAAAATACCCTGAGTTGGATCCATGGGACTTGTTTGCTTGTTTTTTTTGGGGGGGGGGTCTTGCCTTTATTTCCAGTTAGCTTTGAGATTGCGACTCTTAGTGTTTCCATGTTTATTTTCTTTTTCACAAAGATATGTTTATTTAATTTAATACAAAAAGTGTGTTTTGTGTATTTCAAAGGGCATGTTCTAGAAAGTTTATGAAGTTTGAGGTAGGATAGAAAACTAGGGCCCTTTCAGTACTTTCTCATTCAGGATTTTGTTGTGTTTCCTGTGTCAAAAAAGTCTTTCAAGGGCCTGGATAGATGACTCAGGGGTTAAAAACTGACTGCTCTTCTAGAGGACCTGGGTTCGATTACTAGCACCCACAAGGCAGCTTACAACTATCTGTAGCTCCAGTTCCAGGGGAGCGCTAACACCTTCACACCAATGTACATAAAATAAAGTTAAATAAATTTTTATAAAGCTTTTAGTTCCAGGACAGGCTCTAAAACTACAGTGAAACCCTGTCTTGAACCCCTCCCCCCAAATCTTTCAAAATGTAATATTTGGGGGGGGGGTCTGATTTATGAGGAAAGGGGTAAGTTCTGAGCTCCAGGCAGCTCCATGTCACTCAAGTCTCTTTTATTTTTTATTTTATTTGAGACACTGTTTCTCAATGTATAGAACTTACTGTCCAGGAATTCTTTCTGTCTGACAGGCCAAATTTGAACTCAGAGAACCAGCTGCTTCTACTTCCCGAGTGCTGGGAGTAAAGGCTGAAAATGTAATTTTTATCTGATAACCTATTTATCTATACAGATTTGAGCTCCTTGATTTCAAAGATACAGATTCGATTATATTTTTAATTATCTCACTTTGTTGTTCTTGTTTGGTTACTTTGACACGGAATTTCTCTGTGTAGCCCTGGCTGCCCTGGAACTTGCTCTGTAGATCAGGCTGGCCTTGAACCCACAGAGATCCATCCATCTGCCTCTACCTCCTGAGTCCTAGGATTAAAGGGATATACCACCACCTGAATCTTATTTTTTTATTTTGCATTTTGTGGTAAGGTTTTGTTGTGTAGCTTAGACTGGCACATTTATATAGTGCCAGCTACTCTGGAGTTTAAGGAGAAAGATGTTTTTGGGGTGAATTTTTTATTTTCAATTGATTTTTGATGAACGATCTCTTGAGCTTGGGATTTTAAGAACAGACTGGCAACAGTGAGACCATACCATTTTTAAGTCTTATAATAATATCAGTTATATTTTAAAGAGACAAGAAAGTAAAAACAAGGTGAAAGTAGAAACCTTAGTAACTTGTGGTTCATACTTTATTTTTTGAGATAGATAAGACCCTAGTATGTATCTTCAGGGTGACCTAAAACCCTCCCCTTGCCTTATTCGGACTTCAGTTTCCTGAGTGCTAGGATTATAGATGGATGCTGCCACACCTAGCTTTCTTTCATTTAATTTTATGCATTTATTATTATATATTTTATAATATAATTTTATTATATGTATTATAATAAAATATTATTTATGTATTTTATATTGGTGGTGGTGGTATTTTGAGATTCAATCTCTCTATTTAGTCCTGGTTAGGTGTAAATGCACAGAAATCCTTCTGCCTCTGCCTCCTGAGTGCTGGGATTAC